TGGTTTTTAAGAGTTTTTGTCAAATGATTTATAATATAGAATATATATTTTTTATAATTTAATTTAAGTTTAATAATAAAACATTTATTTTTTGTTTAATATTATAAATTTTATAAAGATAATAATTAAGTTTCTGTTAGAATATAATGATTATACTAATTATATTTTAGATTTTTTATATTTAAAATGAGATGTTTATCCTGTATTTGATTGTGTTTATCTGCAGTTAGTCATACGAATTCAGATATGGGATGAAATCGGATAGTGATGAACGGGTTTAAAAGTTTTTAAGAGTTTTTAAGAGTTTTAGCCAAATGCTTTATAATATAGTATAGATATAGATAAAGATAATTTAAGTTTAATATGAAGTAATTTATTTTTAATTTAATAATAATTTTTTTATAAAAATAATAATTAAGTATTTTGTTAGACTCAATGTTTTTCATAATTATATTTTAGATTTTTTATATTTAAAACGAAATATTTATGTAACACCTCAATATCACATTTGCATATAAACATATATTTTCATATATCAAGAAATATAATTTACACATCTGGTCCTACTATCTACAAAAGCTACATTACAAAGTAGATACCAAATTTTTCCATAAAATCCCTATACAAAACTTGTACATATATAACAAGTATTCAAAAGCTAAAGATAACACATCGTCCCATAATTCCATGCAAACACATATAAACTCTCCATGATTTCCCCTTCCCTTTATCATCTGGTTGTGCCCGATCTGTAATGCATATTTCAAAACACCAAAATGAGAGTTAGACCTTAAAATCTAGTGAGAAATCCTTTTATTTGCTATTACAGGGTGAATAATCACCAAAACACTTTTATAAACTCATATTTGTATCAATAACAAATAAACAACATTTTAACGAAACAAACCTCTTTTATCGCATTAAAATGATGAGACATCATCCAATTATCGCAGAAAAAGCCAAATAACTCATTTATCGCACATGATAAAACTCCTCGCATCATATAGGTAAAATTATAAATTTCTCGCATCATATAGGTAAAATTATAAATTTCTCGCATCATATAGGTAAATTATAAATTTCTCGCTTCATATAGGTAAATTATAAATTTCTCGCATCCCATGGTGAGACAACCTCATCTCTTCATAACACATTGGTGCGAGAACCCTATCTCATCGCTTCACACTGGTGTGATAAACCAAACTTGTCGCATCATAATGATACGACAAACATACTCCTCGTATTACAAGGATGCGATGAGAGCCACTCATCGCATCATAAAGATGCGATCACAATTAACACTTGATCAAAAACCCAGAGTTTACATTTTGTTGATTATGCCACCCTTATCCTGGTATACATCTCTCATTGATATGCTACCCTCATAACCAAAATACACATCTCCTTGATATGTCACATTTATAACCAAAATACACCTATCTGGGTTGTGCAACCTTTATTCCAATCATTTGATATAAACATATCAAAATACCAAAGTTATGCTAATCATATTATAAAAAAACAGTTTTATATCATTCTCATGTAAGGAACCCCACGGTTCCAATTTCAACAAAATAAGATGAAAATTATAAATAAACTCACCTTATAAATCACAAGAGATGAAGATTGAAACATCAACAAATAAACATATTAAATCACATAATCCAGTTTCTTCTTTCCCTTACGGTTATGTTCTGTTTGCTTTGCACAAGAGAACACACATAGAAAGCTTCCTCACCAACTTTTTTACAATACCCATGAAATGATTAAAATGTCACATCTTTTAATCATAAAAACAAATGAGGCGGTGGAGTTTTACAAGAATTTTAAACACATAAACAATTTAACTCCCTTCACTTACCACGAATAATAAAAAACAACTCCGAACTTTTTAACCGATAACTCGGTTATCACAGTTTATTTCGTATTTGATTATGTTACATGAATTTTAACATGAAGCTTTAACAAGTTATACTTATATACAATTACTTGTAATCTTGAATTCTAAGTAATATACATCAATAAAAAATACTTCATGCATAAAAAATGGTTTTTAAGAATTTTTATAAAATACTTTATAATATAAGTATAGATTATCAAATACTTGAACCATATTGATTGAATCATTAATATCATGATGCCATATATGTTATTTAAGTACACATTGAATGACACAACATTCACATTGTTTTCAATGAAAAAGACACGGAACATGAGTTGTTGGGGACTCGGCTTTAAATAAAACTGAAAAAAAAAATAAAAAAAAATTCTAACACTCTTTCTGATAAATCTACAACAATCCACAAGCCCACGGATCGGAGGCTATTTTGATATGTAGTCTCTCTCAAGGTCGTGGTCACATTTATTACTTCATTTGATAGATATAAATTTGATTGCTATATTATACCATATTGACAAAATTGCTTTCAGAAAGTAATGAATTTGTTTCATACAACGATATTAATATTGGTTTTTTTTTTCCTTTGATCATTTCTTACTTGTTTATAAAATAAATGTCACATATTCTAGTCATAATATTTGCTTAGCAAAAGCGGTGTCGTGAAAGCTTCAGTCCAAATTCGATACGGAACCCTAGTTGGATGATTCAAATAAAGAAAAAACGGAGTACATAAAAGAGGTGTAATTGGTTAATTACATAAGATGAAGGACCGTAGTGAAAATTTATAAGAGGTAACTTGTTTATCATTTTAATAAAATCGTACTTTTCTAATTAATTTTTGGTGCTACCACTCCCAACATTTGATGGATCCGCCTCTGATGCCTTGACTCTCTTTATAATTATATCAAGTTTTCTCTAATTTACGACAATTTAGCAAATTTTATTTTTATTCAATGTAAATCATGTGAAATATAACACTTCGTTTAATCATACGTGTCTTAGGGGTAGTCTAGTAAATGGTTTTTACCATGTCATTTACTTTATAATATGAACATAAATGAAAATGACTGAGAATCTTATCCGATAAGGATAAAGAGTGTTAAGCATGATTTTGAATTTCAGTGCCAAAAATGACGATGCCTAGAAAACTATTTTCCTATTTGAACGTGTCGATCTCTATTGCTTGTTATATAACATAACCAATATGCTTGCAACATAAAAGGTTGAATTGCAATAAGAATAAGAGTTACCATGAGAACAACCTTCATATATCTTCAACAATCTTTATTTGCCTAATTATGTACATCATGACTAAAAACATACATACATACATACATATATATATATATATATATACATACATATATATATATATATATATATATATATATATATATATATATA